CATACCTGAACCGGACCTGAACCGGACCTGAGCCGGACCTAACCCAGACCTAACCCATACCTGAACCGGACCTAAACCGGACGTAACCCAGACCTAAACCGGACCTAACCTAGACCTAACCCAAAGATAACCCTTGCAGAGATAACCCGCGCAGAGATTACTTTCGCGGAAATAACCCGCGCAGAGACAACTCTCGCAGAGATAACCCTCGCAGAAGTAACCCTCGCAGAAATAACCCGCGCAGAGGTAACTTTCTCAGAGATAACCCGCGCAGAGATAACCCTCGCAGAGTTAACCCGCGCAGAGATAACCATCGCAGACCTAACCCGCGCAGAGATAAACCGCGCAGAAATAACCCTCGCAGACACTAGCGTAAATGGAGCATCACTGGCGTTAATGAAGTGCCACCGGCCAAATGTAGCGGGAGCAGCCCTCCCCGGTATTACCGGCCGGGTTAGGTCTGGGTTAGGTCCGGGTTAGGTCCGGGTTAGGTCTGAGTTAGGTCCGGGTTAGGTCTGGGTTAGGTCTGGGTTTGGTCTGGGTTAGGTCTGGGTCAGGTCTGGGTTAGGTCTGGGTTAGGTCCGGGTTAGATCTGCTAATCTTTGGTATCGTTGTTAGTACAGGTTATGCTAATTAATCAATTTATTCAAGCGTGTTCCCTTCAATAATAATTTGTGCTTTTAAAAGTGGAGATTGCCAGAGAAAGCAGGTCAACTATTCCTTAACTATAAATAGTTAGAGTTCTGTGGAAAGAATGTCAAGTTAGTAAAGTGTTTTCGATAAGTGGGGTTGGTCTCGGTTTAATGATACAATGTGCCTGAAAATTTTAAAATATTTACATATTGTTATATGCGTTAACAGTGTTATTATGTATTGTTGGGGCACCTTATACGTAGTTGATTATCTATCGGTAAGGGTCGCATGTAAATAGAAACAAAGATGTTTGATTGATTAAAACCTCACAATATTGAATTCAAGTCAATTAGTGCCTTAAAACGGAAGAACAAGTATTAAGCCTATTCGATCAACATGATTTAAGTTGTATTCTTAAATGCAAAGTGAAGAGGGTTAATAGCAACAAAAAATTGAGAGACAGCTTTCGTTTGGCTATGTTTTTTCGAGGGTTATCTCTGCGAGGATTAACTCTGCGAGGGTTAGGTCTGCGAGGTGTTACGATGTTTTTGCGAATGTTATTTTGAATGTTATTGCGAAATTTATTGCGTATGTTATTACGAATCTTATTTCTAATGTTATTTCTAATGTTATTGTGAATATCATTGCTATTGTTTTTGCGAATCTTATTGTTAATGTTACTGTTATTGTTACGATGTTACTGTTACTGTTACTGTTATCGTAACAGTAAGAGTGACATCGTAACAGTAACATCGTAACTAGTACCAGTGGCAATAACAATAACATTCGCAATAACATTCAAAGTAACATTCGCAATAACATTCGAAATAACATTAGCAATAACATCGTAATAGGAACAATCTTGTTTGACATGCCGCATTCGCAGATAACGTCCACAGATTTTTCTTTGTTCGGCTTTCCCGTATGTACTTTTTTTTTTTTTATTTTAACGCGAGGAAATGCGTTTACGCACGCCCCCTCACAAGGAGGAGGCAGTGTGGGACTCGTCCCTTGATTTGATATCAAGGGGAATACTCACTAAAACCTCACGGTGGCCGGCCACGGCGCATTGGGGAGAGGCACCGGAATCTCTTACGAACGCTACCGGTGCCCCCCCCCCCACCCTCGCCACTCCACCCCCAAATGAAGGGAGAAGCGCTATCTCCGGTGGGGAGAGAATCTCTCCCCACCTGACCGCTGGTGCCACAGCCCGCGGTCTCGCCTGTCCCTTTTAGTCGCCTCTTACGACAAGCAGAGATTACTGTGGGCGTATTCTGTTCCCCGACCCACAGGGAAATTCCCGTATATACTAGAAGGAACAAACAAAAAAAAGAAAGTTAGTTAGAGTAAATAAAAGAAAAAAGAAAAAGAACACATCGAACAAACGTTATATGTGTTTAATTTTTTAGTTTTTCTTTTGCTTTCGTAACTATTTAAATAAGGAAATTGTTTTAGTTTTCCGTCATTTTTTATACGTAATCGTTTCGCGATAAAATTACTTTGAATTTTGTTTAGGTTACGTTTTAATTCGTTTGAATTACTCTACACTTATTAATTTGCTTTCCATTCGGCTCGCTTTTCCGAGCTTTTTTTGACAGCATTACTCGTCATTACCGTCACGCCCACATGGCCCACGCGCCTTCAGTTTCCAACAAACTGAACAGTTCGGCGCCGTAAAATCCAGAGGTCACTTGCACTCATACTGTTGCTTCTCATCTATCCTATACTCTTTGTTCTACTCGCCTGTGAATCATAAGGCGTGTTTATGCACCTATACATCGAGGTGTATCCGTGGTGAGTAAGCACTAAGGAGTATACATACATCTATACTATATACTCGCTGCACAATGCTGCACAGGTTATGCACAGATAACCTTATTTCGTGATCGTGATATGTCATACGTATACATATACGCACGATATATCGTTATACAGATACCTAAGCAAGTACGTAAATTAACATTAAACAGAAGCATTTCGTCTTTTCTCGTTCTGTTCAAGCGAAATCATATCGACACGACATACTACATATATTTGACGTTGCAAAGATCGTTTCACGCTTGATTCTTATACCTTTAAACGAATGCTTTTATTTCACGAGACACTTTCGTCGACAGCAAGTTTTCGTACAAAATGTTTACGACTGGTCCGGATCAGTGGGTCGACACTAAACGACAACATGGTATTAAATGTCATGTATTAATGGTATAGTTTCCTATGGAACGTATTTGGCAATTTATTTGTTCAAAATGTAATACAAGTGCAGAGAATCTGCATGAAAGAAGGAGAGGAAAGGAAAGAGTGTCACAGGATTTACCGCATAATTCGACAGAGATGAAATTATAAATTACCTTCTTCCGTCTCTTTAAGACCCTGAACGCATGTTAGCCTTGTAGTAATTATTTTGCACAGATGAAGGGGTAATGGATGACATACGTTGTTGAAATATACGACCGACTGTGCGAAATATCCTTAACAATGACTTGATCGCGAGGTAACTTTTTTGGATATGTAAATCTTGCAAAGGTGAAATAGATCTTAACATTCTTTAATACCATTAATTTGTAGGATACACGCTAAACACATTCCGTAACATGATACGTGCTTTCATAGAGGAAGATGCCTGGTGTTACTGGGTTGTATCCGTTGGAGCTTTACTGTCGTTTCTCGGTTTCATCTTTGCTTGTATCTGCAGCTGCCGCAGGAATGAGAACAAGTAATTATGACTCCTAATATTATTTAAGATTACGTGTCAGTTAATTATAGCATGTAGTGTAATTCACGCGAATACGTTCAGTTGTAATTCCTTTGCACAGGAATGAATTTCTTGGGCTTGATGGTATGGTGACGCTGAACAATACAGAAAACGAGGGCTTCGACGAGGTCCCGACGACGAATGCTTCTCGTTTAGCAACGCAAGATGCCATCGACAATGGAAAAAGGTTTCTATCGCTTCAGCGATCGAGCGACGCGCAAACTCTTTTTCCTAAAACACTCTTAAACTCGATCGCTATTACAACACGATATAAACAACAATTACGTTACGTGCGAAATCTTTTGCCTTGAAACTGAAATACCATTACCCGATGCACGTAGGGCGAGTGGGGCGAACAGAAGTCTCCCGGATATCCCGAAAGACAAGGATAAAAGACCAGAAGACCCGGGCGAATCCGCGTCTCAGGATATTTACGAAGCTACGGAAACGATTGGTGATCACTCTGAACTGTATGCTACTGTACAGGACACAGGTACTGTTGGCAGAAAATTGGTCATGAGATACGTCCACCTTCCCTTGAATCTTCTATAACTAATAGTAGTATTGTGTTTGTTGTAGGAGTGGAGGAAGAGACATGCGAACAGGAAATGCAACAAACTTCGCAGCAAAATTCGTCAACTCGAGAAACCTCAGTCCATCCCTATTCGAGATTTGCGTCTTCCAACTCTGAGACTGGTATGAATGATCGTTATACAATTTGCTTCTAATATCAGACTGAGAATAAAGTTATTCTTTCGATTCCAGTCGAACATCCGTATGCTCAACTTCAAAACGTTCAAAAGATCGAGACTAGTCAATCGAATAGGTAACGATTCGAATCTTCCACTGCACTATCTAATAATAATCAGTTTCGTCGTTAGTTCCGTGTTTATATTGCAGGAATAATATAAAACCGGCAATCGACACCGAGAAACCATCAACTTCGACGAGTCCAGCTACCGGAAATCCGGTTGCTCCACCGCGAACTCGTCGATCATCGTCCCACAATTCCCTTCTCTCTACCGACATTGCTCCCTGCGATATTCAAGCAGCCAATGCTATATCTGGTGGAATACAAGCTAACCAAGAGCTACCATACATAACACCACCGCTTTTAATGTTATTGCCTCAACCACTCCAACCTCAGCCAAACAGCCCGCAGCAGCATTTCAGTGGCGACTCTCAAGACTCGAGTAAATAATATAAAATATTCTTCCTAGTAGAGTGGACCTTTTATTTACTGTTTGTGAAATACCATCATCTTTTTTCTTGTAGAAGGATACACCAGTATAAGCGTAAGGGAGCCCCTGGCTAATATAATCGCACAGACCAAGACAATATGTCGACAGAATCAGTCCATTCGACCCCTCACCGATCCTCATTACGCGACTGTCTCGGATGACTCTGGTATGTACATACACAGATTCGATAAAGGATCAATAAAATGAACACAGCATCGTTATATATTTCGTATCTCGACAGATGAAATGTACGCTGCAATCGATGAGCAAGACAAAATCTACACCAGCGGTAGCGAAACTTACGCTCAGATACAGCCTACGATAACAGAAGTCCAGCGAACCGTGCAAACCGAGCAAACGTTGTATTCGCGAGCCCCGTCCCGATCAGACGAAGTTCACCCTGCCCCGCAACCCCCCAGCGTCGACAGTCTACGCCACGTCGCACACGCTCACTCCAGACAAGGTACCCCAATAATCGAGACATTACCGATAATTCCTCATCTCCGATGTAAACTGTTGATGCGACTTCCTATTGCCTGCAGCTTCCTCCTCGAGTGCCAACAGTTCCATTATGAACCCTGGATCACCGAAACCAGAGAAGCGACAAGCTAATTCGCCGTTGCCTCCCCCGCCAGAAGTCATGACGGACATGTACGCGTCTATCGAGAAGAGAACGAAGCCCGAGGAACGAACCAAACTGACCTTATCTAACGGAAAATCTTTAGAGGACATGTACGCTAAAGTGATGAAGAAGAAGAAAGAAGGGGAGGAGCAAAGTGACGCTCAGATAAGTCTACATACCGCTGAAGTCGTCACAGCTCCAAGCAGAAAGTTGAGTCTCGTCGAAATAAACAGAACTTCATGGTCTAGTCACGAATCTACGGAGATACAAAAGAAGGAACTTGATTCTACCCACTACTCTGTATCGAATAACTCTATAGGTAATGCTGATTTGGAACCAGACATTCCGAAGATAGGTAAAATCGTTTGCGACGACGTGGACGCGGACGTGAGCGTGAGCGCGAGTCCTGAGGCGTCCAAGAATAAGGGCCACGGTTATGAAGCCCTTAATTCTGATATTTCTAAAAAGAATTCATTGATACGTACATCCTGCGATCCCAACTACGAAGTACTGCGACCCCAGCGCTTGATCGCGAATGATACCGATTATCGAACGAATAACGTCGTCTCTGCGACGGTATCGGCTCGAAACAGCACAGATTTGTCAACAACGTACACGATACCACTCAAGCACAGACAGACGAGCAACGCTAGCAGCGAAGATCCGGGGTACGAGAAGGTGAGGCTAAGAAGAAGGATCGAGACTGATCTGGACACGGACTCCGAGCCAAATTATGAAAGTATGCCCCACGATTCTGGAGAACCCAACTACGCATCGGTTTGTCGTCCTGGCGACAGCGATACTGACCCTAATTACGAGTCTGTAAATCACGGAGATCCGAATTACGAGAGTGTCAAGTACATGAGCGTTACTCGCCATGAAGAGCCACCGTACGAGCAAGTGAATAGCTTTAAATCTGACCAGTGTCTAGACGGATACGAAAAGGTGAAGAAACACTTGTTCAACGCCGATTACGAAAGGATACAGCGTTCCACGGAACCAATCAGCAACGGGGATACTGACGACGAACAGTATGTTCAAGTGTAATCGTCTATACACTCGGTTTTTTCTTCGACTTTATAGGTTTAAAAACTGAAAATGGCTGAAATTGTGCTGCAGGCAATATGACATGGCGAGCTAGGGCTTCACATTTACAGGCGTCTTAATTTACAAAAGACGTTTGTATGCAAATTGTAATCGATGTAGGATTCGGTAATATTAAGAGCTTTCGCACAGGAAGCAATATTACTGAATGTTGCAAGTTAGGTACACTCGTTGGTAAGACAACATAGGATCTGTTGGATGAGCAAGACTAATTTTAGCAGATCCAGGGAAACATACTCGTTACACAAAACAAAGATTTTTTTTTTTAACGTACTAAGGGCCTCCAACAACCGGTCTCGGCCTCTTAAGGAGTTTTAGGAGGCCCCGGCTGTAACGTACGATATACGTAGATCCCGTTTGCATATTGCGACATTAGAATCGGGTTTAGTAGCTGCTTATTAGTATCGTGTAAACGCTTCGCTCGTCATCGATAACGTGACATAATTTAACCCTTTGCACTCGAAACAATTTTTAGCGAGGTCGTTAACCACTAGGAGGTGTTTTTAGAAAGCTGAGTGCGAAGGGTTAAGGGGTCTTCTCACTAGAGATTTCAACAAATGGGCCACATTTTCGAAATGTTTTTTTGTCAAACGTATAATCCAAGACAATCATCCTACAGTTTCGCACAAATAAAAGTAATTTTATGGAAACGTTTCGATTTTGTTTCAAGTTATATTTTTCGAAGGTGCCAAACCAAGAATCCAATTCATCAAAATTTCTGAAATTATTTTTCTTTGTAAGCGTGTATGATTTTTAAAGTTACCAATTCGTTATTAAAATTTGTTTACCTGTCCTCTGGTTGACGTCCGGACACTTTATACAGAACAGCCTGCATAGGTCATGAAATTTGATTAATTTTCCACCTACCTATCGCTACCTATAATCTTACCTCACATAATCGTGTCAAAATCAGCAACAAAGATCGCGACATAATAACGATGGGAGAGCTAAACCCAGGATCTAGGAGTGCGTTCGTATAAATATTAATTTCTAATCGTTTCTACTATCACTGGGACCATTTTTCTGTTTGATGACTCAAGTGTATCATGTTTACCCGTTTACCTTTCTGTATAATTATCTATCAGTTCAAGATATCGCGTCACCGAAAAAAACTACATTTTGTAACTTGTTATTTCTCGCTCTCTTTTTCTTTTTCTTTTTCTTTCTTTCTTTCTTTTTTTTTTTTCTCCATTCGTAAGCATTCGTATACACACATACGTATGTATGTAAGGTTCATTCTTTGTACAGTTACTTGAAATCTGACCATTTTTGTATACAAAGACGCGCATTCTTACTTAATAGCATCGAATTAAAAAGAAACTGAGGCAATTTTGCAACGAACCCTGCTTACTATCAACGATTTGTAATCTTTTATACTTTGCCACGAAATAAAATGTTTTTATATATAATAAAAAATAGCTTGAATGGAAAGAATCTCGTTATTGAATTCACGATACACCTCAGGTTTCATATTCCATTTCTCAAACACTTGGCCATCTCCTTATCCCCGAATAACAAAGTAGACAATTTCTTTCTAATAATCGCATCGGCGTCGTGTGGGGTTGGACTAGCGCAGCGCTGAAAACAGAACGAATACAACTGCTCGTTTTGTTTCTTTCGTTTTTCTATAATTTCTTTTCATAAAATACGATTACATGCGCATTACATGTTATCTTAACGCTGAGGCGAAACGTTTTCGAGATGTAAAAGTTTTTCTCGCTTTCTCGGCTTTGTCTCTTAATTATCTTAACTTTTACGATGCTCGATTTGTGTGCACCATCACCGACATCTACGCTCCGTAATTGATATTAAACATGATTTATACTCGGAAATCTCGTTTAATATAAACTACGAAGAAAGGGACGGTGAAAGCCTCGAATATCGACATCGAATTCGCATCAGGTCAGACAAAATTTCTCTCAGCCGAACTGAATTGATTACGCTCTCGCGTACATAAGATAGATTATGGTGCATGCAATAGTATGGACGTAGAGTGTGACCGCGATGACAGAAGGAATGGAATGGACACGTTAATTTCTGTAGTAAAAATGACTTTGGAAAACGTAAACATACTCGACTACGAAAAATTCATCGCCTAGTTATTCGAATGAAAATCTACTGAATATTGAAACTAAATAAAGTAACACAGTTACTTAGCTACCAGACATTGTCGTTCGAATACTTGTTTTAAATACAATTTGCCCATCCCTGGATAAAAGATTGATTGTATAATTTCCTTGGTCTTCTCCCCGGGAACATCGGTCGATGGTAACTTGATATATCGTTTTGGTAAAACTATTGGCATCCGTACATCAAATTGTTTCGGGAGAACGAGAAATTGGGTTTAAATTGTTTCACGCGTTACCGTCCGACAACGAGAGGTAACTCGCGTTACGCACGTTCCATTTATATGTATATATATATATTCCCATTCGCGTCTACTTTCCTACGTCTAAATATACGATATAGTCGTTGTGTGTTGTTGATCGCGTTCTTACGACCTACGTACTTCGTAATGGAATGTTTGGTGGTCTCGGAGAGAAAGGAAGGGCAAAATTGTTGAGAACGCGTTCAAGAATTTTGTATTCGACGATTTCTTGACGATTTGCGTCTTCCTTTCTACTCTACCCTATTGTCGTTTCAATAGGTTCTTTTCGCTTTTTAACCGTCTCAAGGTACAATTTGTTTTGCACGTTTCGATCGGATGTTTTTAAGAGTACCTGAAACTAGTAAACAATGATTATCTGCTGGTCCAATATTGGGTTCAGAAATTGATTCGGATCAATGAGACCAAACTTAAACTATAAAGCGTGCTCGATAACAAATGCATATTCACAATATTACTGTAGATTAAAGGTTTGTTGCAACGTGGTGTTTGGTTCATAAATAATAGTGAAATACTAAGTACATTTAAAAATTCAATTTGCTATTCCTCATTTTCAATTGTAATCAAAACTGGAACTTGAACCAACAATCGCACGTGCATTGCCTGTCGAGTGCTATAAATTGTATACGTGTATGCTACAGAGTCGACCAAATAGCTATACCACGCTACTACGTCAACCGATTCTGAATTACACGTTTCTGTATGTCGAGAACAGTTATGCATTCGGTGCGAAAAAAACCTGAATATATGATTTTGTGCGCTGCTTTGGTTATTCGTTGGAAAAAAAAAAAAAAGACAGTTTTGAACGTTCTACGTACGGAACAGAGATGGACAAAATACTTATCCAGATGAAAATTTCGAGTAACCAATAAAAGATAAACAACTTAACGATACTGCTTGTGCAAGACTTACTTTATTTTATTATTCCGATAAAATTCTATCCATCTCCGCTACAAAGTATATCGTGTGCGAAATTTTCCGATCGTTTCGTAACGAGCTAACGAGCTTTATCTACAATACGAGAATACATCGCGCTGTATTTTTGGTACGAGGGTAAAAGATATTGAACACAGCTCCTCGACGTAGAAAAATTTCGTCGTTGCGTCCCGCGACCGTTCATCTTCGCGTTGATCCTATATATCTCGAGTCGTTCCAACATTACCGTACAAATACACAAAAGGCTCGTCCCACTTTCGATGTTCACACTTTTATCCATTTATCTTTTTGCTAGGTATACGACATGACGACACTGCTATTTTAATATTCACAGTTCAATTAATTCGTGTAACTCGACGCGTTGGTGACGCGTTACAATTTCAAATGACAGCATTTATCGTTAATTAAACATTCACGCATACGCGGGATTAATATACCGGTGTAAGTAGTCGTAAATAATGTTTATTGTTAATGTTTGGTCATGCAGGTAAAAGTAATCTGGATGAACGACAAGGGGAAGTGTGAGTGGAGAGCGAGGTTAGAAATGTTGTGCTAGACGGACAGGATTGTGCACGCATGCGCGACCTGCGCGCGGATCTGACATGACCGCCAGCTTTACCGAGGCAGATCGAATCAAATTTATTTTTTAATGTATTATTCTCTACAATTTCTACTGTTTAAATAAAATGTTTCTTTTCGATAATAGAATACCGATGGTCAGTTTGAACGTTTCGTTCAGTATCCCTCCTTACCGTAGCTTATACTTTCTATCGATACATTATATAAATTACTCAACACTTTATAATTGTATTTGCATGTACATATGTATACCTCATTTCCTCTTACCTTGGGCTGTTTATTAATTTTCGAGAAACTGTTCGGCAGTTTCCACTCGATCACATGCGTCAAAATTCTCGATCCGTCTAACACCACTGGCTGGAATCAGGGATGTTCGACTCTTGAGGAGAAATTGATCCTAGAAAAAGAATCTGATGCAAATTAAAAAAATGTAAATCTTGAAATCTGATGTTGAAATTCCAACAAAAAAATTCCTAAAAAATTCTGAATAGCTTAAAGAAAATCAAATAAATTTAGAATCGAACATCCCTGGTATACGTCGCGTTTAAAAAAGAATGTTCGTCAAGATAATTACGTGTTTGTATCCTCGAGCTACCTGTTGCGCATGGATGGATCGTATTCGGTAAGTTTTCGCGTTTGAGCGTAGAAAACTGTGTTACGATGTAACTGTTTCTTGGTAAAAAGGCATCAAGTCTACTCGTACAAAGTTTATCGCGTACAAGTCACGTATTGCGCAACACTTTCCTCGAAGACATATAAAGACACACGAACAAAGGTCGGACCAAGGTCGAAACCATAAAATTACACACACTTGGACTATTACAGTTTCCCTGACCGCGCAACAAAATTCGATACAAAATTCGTATCGTTGGATACTAAAACGATAACGATGCATATCTACATATGTATACAAATGTTTAATTATCGAGAAACAGAGTAGAAGCGATAGACGGTGCCGATAGGATTTAGGATACATGTGAAATGTACCGGTATTGGTTACGCAACAGCAACAGCAACAGCAACAGCAACAGCAACAGCAACAGCGATAACAACAACAACAACAACAACAACAACAACATCATCAACGAATCGAGTTAACTCGGCGTAAAAATATATTTCGCGTTCTTTCGAAGGAACAAGAGTATCGAGACATCGTTGATAACAATTACGCTGATTTCCTGACGCTTTTCCACTTCCAGTTCGAGCAACTAATCAACCAAAATGACGTCTTTGGCGGGGATGAGCACGTCCGAATGATTCTTTAATCGAACACATACATTCGAAATACTAAACATACGTGACCCGTGCTCGGAATAAAGTCTATGCTTACTCGACGATTAAATATAAAATCCTGATACGTTTGGCATTCACTAGAAAATTACAAGATACCAAATTCGTATGCGTATTTTGCATTTCACGAATAAAAGTATTAGGTAGCTATATAATCGTCTAATGAAAACATGCGAATACTTTGAAGCAATCGAGTACAAACACAATAATATAAATTAGCAAGATATTCGTCGCTCGATTACTACATGAAATACACTTTGCCCATCCCTGGCCTGCGGTTGAAATTAATTCCGATGCTCAACCCTACAGCTTAACGTATAATTACATCCACGACTCATCGGATTACTCGCTGGAATTCACTAATACGACCCTTTTAAATTATGTCTACATTTGTGCACGTGCGTGCACAGATCGATACAACGCGCACGCACCACGCTAAACGCGCGTATACAAAAATTATACGTAATATTACAAGAGCGTCTATGATACAGTTGCTACCGTGTATATCGTGCATACGCTCTAGAAACTCCAGAGACCAAAGGCTCTAGAGACTCGGACGTTTAAAATATTTGAAAAAGAAAAGGAGAATCATTTGCTATACGAATCAAGCACAAACACTCTAACGAAACTCGCTCTAATTATTGTTACACGGATGCACGATACTCGACGAAACGCGACGGTGCATCCACGTTAGTGACGGGACTGATACGACAAATCTTACGATATATGGTGATGATATTTGAGCAATTCGATAGCAAAGTACTTGACCTAATGGGAAGCATCGAATAGTATCGAAACGTCGGGTACTCGGTATCAAATTTCTATATCGATGCTTTGAGAATTAACATGGAATTATGCATAGATATTATTGTAAATATATCAAAGACAATAAACGCGATATTAAACATTTATCGATACAATAAATTCTTGATAGTTTCGTTTCCGATTTCCAGTACATCGTTATGAGCATCTTTATTCGTAGTATTCATATAAAATGAAGTACCTTTCGAGAATATACGACATTTCTCGTTTACGACATTTATCCATGAAAAATGAAGTTTTTCTCTTTACAAAAGTATCGGTATTGAAAATCGATACCACATACTGTAAGCGATTAACACGTATCAATGTAGATATCAAAATGGTTCGATACAAAATGATACTGTACTATCTGGCATCGATAGTACCAACACGGTATTAGTCCCATCACCACTCCACCTTTCCATTCTCAAAACTGCCGCAAATCCTAGCAACTTTGTAGACTTTTTTGCACGATCGAGGTCAAACGAATACCCAGTCGATAGAAAGAGTTTGGCCAACAATGTACAGCAACAAAGAGTTTCACGCGATCCAGCACGAGGTGTCACACGCTGTCGAGGCTGCTGGCTTCCTCGACGCACGCTTGCTCGTTATCGCTCTCACTGGCTGGACTGGCCGATGCCTCCAGCTGATATCTCGCCGCGTACTCGTCCGTCTCGTCTTGATAATGGTGCTGGTGATGTTGATGTTGATGTTGATATTGATGTTGATGTTGATGTTGGTGCTGATGTTGATGTTGATGTTGATGTTGATGCTGATGCTGATGCTGATGCTGGTGTTGGTGTTGATGCTGCTGCTGTTGCTGTTGATGCTCGTGGTGATGATGGTGATGAGGATAATGATGGTGATGATGACGGTGATGGTGAAGGAGATTTTCGGGATGGTAACATCGATGGGTCTCGTCTACGCGTTGACGCAAGTCGTCCAGGTGTACCGACGGAACGCGTCTCTTCAGTTTACGATGGTAAAAGAGGCAAACGACCAGTGCCACCAGAACCGCGCCAGCGACGTATCCCGCGACTTCACCGTAGCTATCCGTCCGTACGACGGCCGTGTCACCTGAAATGCATTCCATCTCTTTCAGACGCGGATTCAAACGAATATCCAATCGGTGAGAGCCTTTCCTCTGACCCCCAACCCCCATCGGAACCTTCTCCGCCGTTTTTCCCTCCTTTCAGGTTTCTTTACGTTTACTGCGCCAGCTTTACGAGCCTCGCCAGGGATGGGCACGTACCAAGTATCGAATATACAATGTATTTAACGCTTAAACAGAACGACGAATAACCTGATATCTTAATGTAGGAAACGTTTGGGTTAATACCTTTATTTACAATTTTCCGCGCACTTTAACTCGATTTCAATCGAAACTCGAAGGGAAAAAACGGAAGCTGGGAGTTGCCGGATGCAGAGAAAGAGTTAAATAAATATGTGTACTCGTGTTTGTATGTGTGAGAGAGAAAGAGAGTTGACATGCTACGGTATACGAAGAAAAATAGCATTCATCGTAATCATGCGCGGGCTTCAAAGGTGAAACCAATATCGAATCAACGTAAATCTCTAAACATTCGTAATTCCAGGTACGTGTGACTGTTTGGAATCAAATAAATATCAAGGTATTGCCTCTGTGTTTACGATTCGCGAATAAACGAGTCTCCCAACGGAACATGATCGTTGAGAAAGTTTGGTGACAAGGATTAACGATGGTTGGTACGATATCATTGATACGATTCCCAAAAATATACGTGGTACACAGTAATGGTCGGATAAATGAAACGAAATCATTCTCCATTGCTGTCCACGTTCCTTTAACTCGAACGAGAAACGAACTTGAAAGCGTTACTGCAGGCGCATCGACGTGGCTTATGGTGTTGAAATGAAAGAGTAATTTTAACGGGTTGTTGTACTCTTGTCGCATCAGCTCGATCCGTTTCCCTATCAAAGAGCTTTCTATTTAGCATCAACAGCTACTAATAATAATAGCCATGCGTGAGCAGTGAGCTGCTTTAAAGTTCGCTGTTTCGCTGACTATTGACGTCGTTCCCCTTTCTCGTCGCGTCTAACTAGATCTCAGGCTGAGGTACAAGAAAAACCAATTCCTGGAACACAAACTCCGCCTGTCTCGGATAACTGAAACGCCTGCGGACCCAAAATCGTTTCAGTTATCCGAGCAAATACAGTATCCCTCCGGTTCGAACGTTGCTTACAAGAGGCGTATAATTTTCGTTGGCACGTTAAAAACTAAAACACGGTACATGTGCAATACTGTGAGTGAACTCACGTGATAGGGGAGATCATAACATGCCGGATCGTCGGAAGCTTCATGAAGGGCTCAGATGGCCACGAACACAAAGCACAGAGAGAGAAGAAGCATGGCAGAGACTCCAGCCAGTGCTGGCGACAATGGGGCTGATGCTGCACCTGCGACACCACACACACAGTCATTCACCCACTCGATCCTTTCATTCTACTCGTCTGTACATACGTCTACGTAACTCTACTTACCTAGAAAATAACAATTCTGTACATATTTTGTCCTCGAGTACTTGTTTATTACTCTCTCTCTCTTTTTCCTCGAATCGAACATCAACTATCGTCCTCTAGACTATTTTCTTTGTTTGTATTTTGTTATCTCTCGAGGAACGATATCATTCGATAAGACTTACTAGGTCACGGGGGAACGTGTGCGAACGCAATAGTCGCATAATCAAGTAAGGAATAACACTTTCGTGAAGTATGTTTGACACGGTTAGACGGGTCAAACGAACTCGACGACACATGCTCCGTGCAGTATTTACGAATTTGTTTGTCCAGCAAGTACGACGTGTTTGTTTTCTTTTCCATCGAAATAATTGAGAAATCTTACTCTCGACGTATAGTTTTCGAAGTTTGTCGTTACCCGCTGTCCTCGTATCGAACGGATAATAGAAAAAGATGTAAAAGAAAGTGTGAAACCTGGTAGCTTGTTCTTCGTCTAAACGCAGCGATCGTCTAGTTTCGTTGCGCGGCGTTTTGTTCGATTCTTTTTATGTATTTACATACATCGTACATGCCATACATACATACATACATACATACACACTCGCGTATATGTATATGCGTGCGTATATGTACACGTGTATGTGTGCACAGAATATGCCCCAACAAGTGAAACGCGCTAGACAGGGGGGAATTGGGGAGATGAGAACAGTGAGGAAAGTTCATGAAAACCTTTTGATGACCTTGACATTATTCTATTCAGATGATATTTTAAATATTTCTACACGATATATTCGATAACTCATAGTTTCTATATTATTTCTTAATAAATAGATTAATACTGGAAGCCTACCAGATCCATCCCTCATACAAAAATATCACGCGTACAGTAATGCGATAGAGTGGTTTGATCAGTTTGATCGAATAAAACATATGCTTATGAGAACTTTTTTCATTATTCTTACATCCCTAATTCATCACTGACGCGGGCTTTGCGTGTCGAGGTGTACTCTATGTGCATACCTACACGTAAAGGATCGATTATTCAAGGTATTACGATACAAAAAGAGAATACGCTTGGACAAGTTGTAGAACACAGTGTCTATTGAACGATCCGAAGGAATTACATACTCGTTGGATCGGAGTATAGTCTATAGCGGAAAGAGATATATATGTATACATATGTGTATATATATATATATATATA